ATAAAGAGCATGACTGAGTTTGTTTTAGGTGACACATAACATTGTCTCCCCCTTTTTGTCTTAGCAATAGCATTTTAAGAGTACAATTGGCTCTTTTCACTATTGCTTGATCTTAAGGGTTGTAAGGGACACCAGTTTTATGATAAACTTGATATTGCTGACAAAAGTGCTGAAAAGCAGAATTAGTATATGCGGGTCCATTGTTTGTTTTTAGCTCTAAGGGAGGTCCTAGTACCGCAAAGGTGGCTAAGCAATGATTAATTGTGTGCTTGGAACTTTTCCCTGTTTGGGGAGTCGAAAAGATAAAGTGGGAGCAGGTATCTACATTAACATGTACCCATCTACATCCATGCTTACCAAACTCCGGGACGTGGTGACATCCATTTGTTAGATTTGATTAGGTCTAAGACCCCTAGGATTAACCCGTAATGATTGTACAGGACAATGAGTTACACACTGACGGCACTCTTAACAATTTGACAACTCGCTCCCGAGAAATAAGGAACTGCTTATGAAAGGAAGTAGCATTTTGATGATGCAAAGCTTGGGAGGACTGGGCAAGAGAAAATGGGGTGGCCTCTTGCATTATAGCAAGGAGGCCATCAGTGGCTTCATTGACCAGGGAGACCTGAGTGAGATCGGATATGACTGATAAAGCAGGGAAACTGTCATTCTCTAATGACCTTTCTAATGACCTAAGGCTGAAAAAATAAGTGAAAATTTCCTCTGTATTAGTGTGCCCTATAGTAGCTGTGATTTTGGCCATACTTACCACATAAGCGCTATCACTATATAGGTTGATGGGCTCCGTAACAAAATCTGTCAAGGCATAAATAAGAGCTTGTATTTCTACCCGTTGTGCTGAAATTTAAGGGGTTTGAAGGACCATTGTTCCCCTCCTGCACTAGATCCAGCCTGGATCCATCTGTGAAAATGGTTAATGCCTGAAGGTAAAGGTCGTAACTGAGATAAAGTGTAAGACTTTATTTGCAGGATAGTGGTTAGTATTAATTGTTTGTGCCCTTACTTTAATTTCTCCAGGACAGTTCTGATCTACCACCCTAGGGAGAACTTGAAATCCTTTCAGGGTCAAATTGCTCCTCCATAAAATTAATCCCATCATGCCCAGGGGAAGGGGACCATACACTCCTAAGGCAATGGCCTGAGGCCCCATCTCTGGGGTTAGTAATGATCAGGAGGTGGGGCTGAGGTCCTATCCTGCACTTCCTGGGGTAAAAGGTTTTGAAAGTTGGTTTTGGGACCGAGCCAGTGGGAAGGCTGCAGTGGGGTTAAGGATAAGACCCCGCCTGTTTGGTGGGGCCAGGGCTGGCCCCGCTTGAAGTGTCCCTGCCTAGGAGTCATTAAATTACCATCAACTCCAGTCTTGGAGTGGCATTCATTCACCCAGTGCTTCCCTTTCCTGCATCTTGGGCCATTCCCTGAATGTAGGCTGGTCCAATATCAGCACAAACACGGATAAAATGCTTCCATAATAAGTAATCTCCAGGTGAGAGGCAAGCCTCTGTGACAATATTAAACCTTGGTAATCTTAGTTCCCCTGCCACACTTATTTCAATTTGTCAATTTAAATCAGTCGGAGATAAGGTTTGTTTTCTAACATTATTTGTCCTAGGGTGTGGACAGTAAATTGCACGGATTGGATTTATGCTATCAATCTTTTTGAGTATGCACCTTGGTTAGGGAGGCAAAATATGAATTATTTACTTTTAAGTGCCATTGGTTTAGGGAAGATAGGACTTACTAGAAGGCCCCAAGCCACTTGGCACTTAAATTTTTTAGATGGTTGCAAACTGCTGTTTACAGGTGAGTCACAAGATTAGAAAATTGACTCTGTAGGTCTTTGCATACACTTAATAAAAACTTTCTTAGGACTCCTAAGTATTGAGTAAATTTGTCATTTCTCCCGGAGAGATTTTTAGATAAGGTCTTAACTAATTAATGTCCTCTAACAACCTTTACAAGTCATTTAAGATCTTGAGGCAATCCTTTCGTCTTTCTACCTTTCGAGGCCTAATACATTGATTTTTCTTAAGTATAGTTCCTAGGTATTTGAAGGGCATTTCCCACTGTATTTTTTCCTGGAGCAGTCTCTAAGCCACATTTAGGGAGATGCATGACTCAATCAAAGATGTTGATGCTTTGTAAGTGTTTTGTGAGCTGTGATGTCTGCAGAGTAGTGTCTTAGCCATTGCACTGTCAGTAGGAAGAATGTTACAATTCACACAAAAACAGCTATACAGGGAGCTTTGGCATCCAGCGAGAGCCCAGTGCAGGCAGTGAGCTGAGTGTCCACCCGGGACGGAAGCCCTGGGGAAGGGTCCTGAGCAGGTGCATTGGGGCACAGGAACTTAGGTTTACTGCTGAGGCGCCCCCCTGGAGACGAACAATGTGTCCGAGACAGGAAGCAGAAGAGAGGAATATTATCTTTTCTTGCATTTAAAAATATTTGATTTCAGAAAGGAAGGGGGGGAGAGACATTAATGATGAGAGATAATCATTGATTGGCTGCCTCCTACACCCTCCTCTCCCCTGATTCGGATCGAGCCTGCAACCCGGGCATGTGCCCTGACCGAGAATTGAACCATGACCTGGTTCATAGGACGACGCTCAACCACTGAGCCAGGCTGGCTTGGCTGCATTGGGGTTTTATGTTTCTCTCTAAAACACATCCGAGGCCTGTAAATAAATAAGCTCACAAAGGAAGAAGGGAATAGAATTCTCAGCATCCTTCGAAGTCCAGCTCAGACTCCTTCTCCTCTCGGGCAGCGATTCCTCTGACAATATGGCTGGAGGGGAGTCCCAGGGATGGGGTTGGGGGGATGTGGGGGAGGACGGAGAGGGCAGGGCAGGAGGGAGCAGAGGAGGGGAGGTGAGAAGAACAAGAACTGGACCACCTCTGCCTCCTGAGAGTTAGCTGCTTCTGGAAAGCTCCATCATTGTTCCACTTCTTTTCTGAACATACTGGAGTATATTTGGAACGAAACTTTAGCTGAATAAAAGCTTGAGGTGCTGTCAACACAACCAACCCTTCCTTCGTTTCACTCGGTCATTTTCTCTTCCTCCGGCCCCTCTCCCCTAGGATGACGTTGTGGAGACTCGGACCCTGCGTTGAGAATTGATGGATTTCTCCCCCCTGTGAGGTGTGTTCAGCCTCAGCCACACTCCGTAGAGGAGCTCGGTATCCACATGAGAAGTTGGACTGTAATTGACTTACGTTTCCTTACAGAGCTCCGGGTGCTGTCCCAGAGGATGCTCGGGTACTTGTATGATGTTACTGTTGCTAACAGGAGAACCGTGTGATGGGATTTGTCTCCACTGGACCCATTTTACAGATGAGAAAAGTGAGCCTGGGGTCAGGCTCTAACATTCTTCCAGGGTGACATAGGCAGGTGGTAGGGTGACACTAGAGCAAACAATGAGCACAGCAGCTGGTGAAGAGCTGCCCATGAGGCACGTGTGGTTTGAATGACTCTGTTTTTTTTTGTTTTTTGTTTGTTTTTTCCTTATAGTGATTCCTGGCAAAGGGGATCATTTTCGGTAAAGAAATAAGTCAGAACCTGGCAGTGGAGAACGGCCTATGCTTACAGCAGTTTGTAACGACTTTCCTCTTGGAATCTACCCTGTGGCTTAGCTTTCAAACCAGAGGCTCATCCTATCCAGGGAAACGTGAGTTATTTGCTTTCTTAATGTCAGTTGACATTTGCACAGATCATCCGGGATTTGTTGAGAAAGAACACATAGAGATGGACGGGCAAAGGATAACAGAATCAGACAGGTGCCTTTATAAAGTACCCTAGAACAGCCCGGCCGGTGTGGCTCAGTGGTTGAACATCGACCTATGAACAGATTCCCCGTCAGGGCACATGCCAGGGTTGCGGGCTTGATCCCCAGTGGGAGGCGTGCAGATGGCAGCGGATCAATGATTCTCTCTCACCATTGATATTTCTATCTCCCTATTCCTTCCTCTCTGAAATAAATAAAATACATTAAAAAAAAAAAAAGGTAACCTGGAACAATAAAATAAACACCTCTGGTAAGGGTGGCATTTCCAGATAGTGATACAAATCAGGAAACGGGTCTTTTTATTTCTGGGCGAGACAACATGGTGCTTAATTCCCTCAGAGAGGGAATTAAGGAATTAATTAAATGAATTAAGGAATTAATTAATCTAAATTCCAGGAATTAAATGTCCTGGCATTTAGGTCGGGAGAACAGGGTCTCCATCCTGGCAGGCTCTGCAACTGGACTTCCCGTGGCGTCAGAGAAGGGCAGAGCTGGAGGCAGCCAGTGAGCGATGTGGCCGCATGTCCTTAAAAATCTGAGACTCCCCCGTGGAGGGCTGGCCGGCCCCGGGGCCAGGGCCAGTGTCAGCTCCCCTGGCCTGTGTCTCGCTGTTGAGCCCCGCTTCCGTCCTGTGTGCAGCGAGAGCCCAGAGCTTCTGCAACCCCATCCCGTCCCCGTCCCAGCTTCTTGGGCAAAGCGAACGTGCCCTCCTGCTCTCCAGGCCCATTCAATTTAAAAGAAAAATTTAAAAAATATATTTTATTAATATTTCACAGAGAGGAGGAAGGGAGCGAGATAGAGAGCTAGAAACGTCGATGAGAGAGAAACATCGACCAGCTGCCTCCTGCACACCCCCCACTGGGGATGTGCCCGCAACCAAGGCACATGCCCTTGACCGGAATCGAACCTGGGACCCTTCAGTCTGCAGACCGACGCTCTACCCACTGAGCCAAACCAGCTTCGGCTGAAAGAAAGTTTTTTGATTGATTTCAGAGAGGAAGGGCGAGGGAAAGAGAGAGAAAAACATCAATGACGAGAGAGAAACGTCGTCCGGCTGCCTCCTGCACGCCCCCTACTGGGGACGGAGCCCACAGCCCGGGCCTGTGCCCTTGATGGGGAGTGGAACAGTGACCTTCAGGACCATAGGCGGATGCTGCTCCGGAGCTGAGGCCTGACGGTGGGTTCTGTGCTTGCAGATGGCCTCGGCGCGGCTGCGGTGGCTGTCGGCGGCGCTGGTGGCGCTGGGCGCGCTCTGCCTGCTGCTCAGCATGCACGGCCTGCCCCTGCTGCTGGGGGAGCCGCTGGTCTTCAGGAAGGAGGGCCGCTTCCTGCAGCTGCCCGCCCTGGACTGCCGGCGGGAGCCCCCGTTCCTGGTGCTGCTGGTGGCGTCCGCCCACGACCAGCTGCCGGCGCGCACGGCCATCCGGGAGACGTGGGGCGCGCAGCGGGCCGTGCGCGGCCGGCGCACCGAGACCCTCTTCCTGCTGGGCACCTCGCCCAGCCCCGCCGCCGCCCGCGCCGTGGCCCAGGAGGCCCGGCGGCACCGCGACATCGTCCAGAAGGACTTCGTGGACGCCTACCTGAACCTGACCCTGAAGACCATGATGGGCATCGAGTGGGTGCACCGCTTCTGCCCGCGGGCGGCCTTCGTGATGAAGACGGACTCGGACATGTTCGTGAACGTGGCCTACCTGGTGGAGCTGCTGCTGCGCAGGAACCGCACGGCGCGCTTCGCCACGGGCTTCCTGAAGCTGCACGAGCTGCCCATCCGCGAGCGGCGCAACAAGTGGTTCGTGAGCCGCCGCGAGTACCCCTGGGACCGCTACCCGCCCTTCTGCTCCGGCACCGCCTACGTGCTGTCCGGCGACGTGGCCAGCCAGGTGTACCGCGTGGCCGACCGCGTGCCCTTCCTCAAGCTGGAGGACGTGTTCGTGGGGCTGTGCCTGGCCAAGCTGCGCATCGGCCTGGAGGAGCTGCACTCCGAGCAGACCTTCTTCCCCGGCGGCCTGAGCTTCTCGCCCTGCCGCTTCCGCCGCATCGTGGCCTGCCACTTCGTCCCGCCCCACAAGATGCTGAGCTACTGGAAGGCCCTGGAGGCCTCCCCGGGGGAGGCGTGCCCCGCCGAGTGAGCGGGCAGCGCCTCTGGGCCCGCCCCGGACCGCCGCGGGGATGTGGGGGACCGATCTGTGGATGGCCTGGCTGAGGATGGTCAGGAGTCGGGAGGGAGCGAGGGAGGAAGGAGAGAAGAGGAAGAGGGGGGAAGGAGAGAGGAAGATGGAGCTGGGAGGGGAGGAAGGAGAGGGGAGGATGGAGCAGGGAGGGGAGGAAGGAGAGGGGAGGGAAGGAAGGAGAGGGAAGGGGAGGGGAGGGAGGAAGGAGAGAGGAGGAAGGAGAGAAGAAGAAGGAGAGGGGAGGAAGGAGAGAGGAGGGGAGGAAGGAGAGGGGAGGATGGAGCAGGGAGGGGAGGAAGGAGAGGGAAGGGGAGGGGAGGGAGGAAGGAGAGAGGAGGAAAGAGAGGGGAGGAGAGGACTTGGAAGGAAAGGGGAGGGGAAGAAGGAGAGGGGAAGGGAGGAAGGAGAGGGAAAGGGAGGGAGGAGAGGAGCCATGACACCAGCAGTTTTCCAAATCTGAACTAGAAGGCAAGCTGGCATGAAACCGCTGATGGATTTCGAGTTAGTACCCGGGCACTGGCACATGCCCCTCCTGGGTCCCTGCACCTCGCTCCAGGCGTTCCATGCACACCTGTGTCTGCTCATGTTGGGGCCGCACCAGGTGAGGAGGGACTGCTACCGTTCCGTGGACACCGGGGGGGAGGGGGGGGAACGTGGCTTAGAGAGCGCGGGAACTGGCCCTCAGGCTCACGGCCAACAACCCTGGAGCAGGGAGGGAATCAAGGTCATCAGAATCACCCTCCCCCCCCCCCCCCACACTCCCCATGCGACCCAGCCCTGCCTTGGGAGAGGACGCCGTGAGGAGGCTTGGATCACAGCCTCTGTCCACGTCGGAGTGTCCCCTCAACTCCTGACCCTTGTGCTCTGTAGTGCTAGTGATGGGGTGATCGCCCCTGCCCCCCAGCTGTGTTCTGGGTGAGCCCCTGGCAGATGCTGGCCTGCAGTGGCTGCAGCGCAGTCCCTGAGCAATGGCACCTGAACAACGGGCCGCTAGTGGCTCCACCTCCCCGGGTTCTCGTGCTGGTGGAGACTGTGTGCGGACCGCTCTGTGTGGTGGGGCAGTAAGAGAGCAAGGCCGTGCTTGCTTCCGCTGGTGCCCCCATGGTCCTCAGCCACTGGGGCGGCAGCCTGGAGCCCGCACTCACTCGTTCTCGCCTTTGCACCATCAGTTGCACATCTACTACACAACCAGCGTGCGCTGCGTGCTGTGTGGGGTGAGATGGAAACATGGCTGCAGGAATGGTCTGCGGTCAGTCATAGGGTTCAGAGGCTTACTGACCACCAGTGTCCAGGCAGAACATCCAGAGAGAGTGAGAGAAGCAGAAAGTGTCCCTTCCACGGACAGCTGGGTGTGCGCCGTCAGTTGTTGGCACCGCTTTGCATAGTCTGCAGGCCGCGTGGGGGTGGCCAGGAGGTTCCCTCCGGCTCCCACACCAGCACCAGCCGCTCTGTGATGGACTGAGCACTTGGCACGTGTGGTTTCCTCTCTGGCTGCCATGCCTCTGAACAGTGAGTTGGTGTTTGCCTTTTCTCAATGCCCCTCCCACTTGGAAGTACTTGATTTCTCATGATTTTTAAAAAAATATATATTTTATTGATTTTTTTTACAGAGAGCAGAAGAGAGGGAGAGAGAGCTAGAAACATCGATGAGAGAGAAACATCGACCAGCTGCCTCCTGCACGCTCCTCACCGGGGATGTGTCTGCAACATGCCCTTGACCAGAATCGAACCTGGGACCTTTCAGTCCGCAGGCTGACGCTCTATCCACTGAGCCAAACCGGTTGCGGCCTCATGATTTTTTAAAAAAATAATTCATTGTCAGCGTTTGCCCCAGCAGCTGGCATTTTAGCCCTTTTCCTGGAGGTGGTAATGACCAGTCAGGCCTCCTCTCTCGGTCCACGTTCCCGCTGTGGAGCCCGGAGGGAGGGAGGAGGGCGGAGAAACGGGTCTATTGGGTTAGCGGTGGTCTCACTAAGGGGGGGTCCGGCGGAAGGCTGGGCTGGATGGAGGATTACGTGAACTGTGACCCCTCAGACACCAGCGCCTGAGCCTCTTGTAGATCGTCCTTGCCGCTTGCTTTTAGTTCTGTTTCGGTGGCACACGGTCCACACGTCTGTATGTGGACATCAGGAGACGTTCTCGTGGGCTGCGGCGTCTTTGAAGCAAACGCTCAGTTCTGCCCCTGGGAAAGGACGCTGATTCCCTCCTCCGAGCGGTGACAGATGGAAGGCTCTGTGGCTGTGGGGACTTAGAAACATGAGTTCCTCTCCGGCTCCTGTTTTTCTGGGGAGGCAGCAGGAAGGACCGCTGCCCTCCCAATGGCCCTGAGACTGAGCCGTGAGCTACCCCCCTTCTCTCCTCCCCCCCCCCCCCAGCCCCGCGTGGGGGGCACAGAGCCACAATGGGCTGCTGGGCACACGCCAATCGGAATACAGACAAACCAAAAATTAGTTTTAAATTAACTTTAGAAATGATTGTTACTTATCGGACCTAGTCAACCTTAAATATAAGTGGAAAAGTGAATTCCACGGCCAAATGTTTTTGGTGACACGTGGTGGGTTTCTTTTTTGTGTTTTTTTTTTTTGAAGGGATGGTAAAAATTTCAATTTTGCCTGGAATAAGTACCACAGTGAGAAAACACTCAGGCCTGCCGGCCGGCTGACCAAGGTGGAGGGAGGAAGGAGAGAGCGGAGGTGAGGTCGGCTCGGGGGCTCTGACCTGCTGCACATGAGGCTGGGTGTGTGTGGCTCGGAAGAGAAGCGGAGAGGAGATGCACAGAGTGAGTCAGAGACCTGCCGGGACATAGATCCAGCAGGAGGGGAGAGTGAGCGCCATCGATTTTGAGGAATTGTCCCCAATAAGGGCTGATGTTGCATTCTTTGAAAAGTATTTATATACTTTTTTATTGACTTCAGAGAGAGGAAGGGAGAAGGAGAGATGGAAACATCAATGATGAGAGAGAATCATTGATCGACTGCCTCCTGCACGCCCCCTACTGGGGACCAAGCTCCCAACCCAGGCATGTGCCCTGATTGGGAATTGAACCTTGACCTCCTGGTTCACATAGGTTGATGCTCAACCAGTGATCCACACAGGCCGGGCTGATGTTGCTTTCTTGAGTCTGAAGGCCGAGTTTCTATGTTGTAGTTCTGAGGACAATTCAGCCTTCGGGAAAACTCACTCTGTGCTCTGAAGGCCTTCCACGGGTTAGATGAGGCCCATCCGTGTTGTAAAGGGTAATCTGCTCGACTCTACGTCCACTCACTGAGATGTTCCTCTTTACTGAAGGCTACTGATTTTCTGTGTATCACATGTGTAACCACCTTCACAGCAACATGTGGGCTGATGTGGGCTTTACACTGGGTCCCACAGCCCCGCCCCGCTGACATACAGCGTGAACATCACGGTGAGCTCGTCATATGTGCCAACCGTGCAGTGCTGGCCAGACGCCCCGGTGGATGTCACCAGGCCATGTCTGTCTAGGAAGGAGCCGGGCTGTTGGCTTGTCAGCAGGAGGTTTGCAAATGCCAGAGTGTCCATCTTGATTTCCCTTCTCTTCCCGTTACCTTGTCAGGTGCCTGAGGCCTTGGAGGAGCGCCTTTATCCCACTGTGATGGGTGTTGTTACTGTCCTTAGCACGAGGGTGCCCTGGCTGGATTCCGAGGGGAATTTCTATCTTCCTCACACACTCCTCTTGCTTTTTGTTTAAAAAAAATATTTTATTGATTTTTTACAGAGAGGAAGGAAGAGGAATAGAGAATTAGAAACATCGATGAGAGAGAACTATCGATCAGCTGCCTCCTGCACACCTCCTACTGGGGATGTGCCCACAATCAAGGTACATGCCCTTGACCGGAATCGAACCTGGGATCTTTCAGTCCACAGGCTGACGCTCTACCCACTGAGCCAAACCGGGTTCGGCATCCTCTTGCTTTTAATTGAATGCAGAATCCCTGGTCTTCTCTCGAAGACAGACACTGGAGTGTGGCCTGGGATGGTTCCAGTGGCTCAGAGATGAATGAGCTCTAGCATGGCTGATGCTGGTTCTTTCTGGTTGCTCCATGGAGATGTTTGCCTCTAAGAAGATTCTGGAAGCGCTGGTGCCTACCTTTCATCAGACGTGGGGCAGCCGGAGAATCACAGGGGGTCCCGGTCTGGCCTCTGCCAGAGATGTGCCCGGTGGCCGCAGACCAGTCTTCCCCGATCTCTGGCTCCCTGCAGATCTGGCTTGGCCATCAAGCTCTAATACTTCTACCTCCAGAGCCATCAGGGTGGGTCATTCCTGCCAGACGCTCACGCCCGTGGGATCTGGCCTGAGTCGATGTGTGTGACCATCTGCCCAAGGGCTTACAGGCACAGGTGACAGGCGGTCAGACACAATCAGCCTTAGATCCGAGTGGGAAAATGAATTCCAGAGCCAAGTGTATCTGGTGTCACGCTGCTTTATATTATCCCTTTGTTGTCTACCTCCCTCCGCTGGCTTAAGAAGTTGGTGTCTGACGCCTGCAGAGCGTGGATGGCCCGGTCCAGAGACCAGGCTGTGTACATGCTCTGGGGAGGTCAGTGCACGGCCAGGGTCTCAGAGGTCCCGGCCTCCAGTCCTCACACAGAGATGAGCCAAAGAGGTGGCGATGCCCTTAGTTAAGTTGTGCTTTGGAAACTACCAGATTGGGGAGAACTGGCCGAGTTTACACCTGGTCAGATAAGAAAGCAGGGAAAATCCAGCATGACTAGAAATCACTTAATGCCAACCAAGGGGGTGTTGTGGTCAGATTTTGTTTTTCCTGAGAGGCAGTAAATAAAAGTAAATGTTTATGTTACTGAATGATACTTGAATATACATTTTTCCCCCCTGTATTTCAGAGAGATCTACTAGACTCATGTCATATTTTGGGACTAGGCATACGTATTTATGATTTATTAATAATAGTATATATATTTAATAACAATTAAATTAC